GGTAGGACATGGCACCTAAATATTATCCTTAAGGAGATGTATTCATCAAAGGGGGGGAAAAAAAGAGGAAAAATGAAAGAAGAGAGGAAAAAGAGGAGGAAAGTAGGAAAAGGAAAAAGGAGGGGGGAAGGAAAAAAGAAAACAATAAAAAGAGTGGAACAACCCAGCTGTAGATGGCAGCAAATCAATATTCACCCCTGTGTACACAGACACTGAGAACATCAATTATCCTCAGACAGACTGTGTGTTTTCAGTAGATTTTGTTATTATTTCCACTTTGTCACACACACTAGACCAAAGTTGACTGTGCAAAGTCATTGGGAATCAACATTACCCACAATTCTGAAGATCCTGCTCTCATTTCAAGAACTAATTCAAACTGCAGAAATTTATTTTTTTTTTACCCTTAATTTAATTATCTTTTGCTGTAGAGACTGGATATTTCAATAGAATATGCCAGAAACACTGGAGACAAAGAATTTAGGAATTTTGCACTTTGAAAAACTGAGCCCTTCCATAAAAACTCTTAATTTCCTTGAGTCCCTTATGACTTGCAATTACAATGATTTATTTTTTTTAAAGCTCGTGGATCTTAAAGATATGCATCACCTTGACACACAACATGAGGAATAAAACCATTACTTGTGTAACAGAAGATTTTACAGGCTTCTTTCTTTCTCTTTGGGGCACTGCAGAACTGTGGTGGAGCAGGATGGGGATGACAGGGATGGTTTGGGTGACACTGATGGAAAACAGCTTTGATGTAGGCAGGTAAATGTCATTTATTTGAGATGAACCAAGGGCTCAGGCCCCCTCCACCCAGTCAATGTTCAGCTATTATTTTGTTTGCTAGAACTTTCCCATATTCCCTTTTCCAGAGCATCTTTGTTTGAGAATTTATGTTTCTGTGCTCAGAGATTCTCCAGCATCCCTCCATATCTCTGCCCACTGAACCTTTAATCTGCTGTACAGGATTCAGATGGCAATCTGGGCATTTAAAGACAATCTTAACTTTCTCAATCTCACCAGTTGGGTTCATTTACAACCCAGAAACTGAAAAGGGGCAAAACCAGTGAGGAATCACCCACCCAATTTACCATTTTACCCATCAGGATAAAATCCAGGGCTCACAATAAGAAGACAAGCTCCTGTCTCCAAATCTGGCCTTTATGCAGGCACCTCACATCTGCCTGATTTTGTAGAGCTCATGAGCTCCCATTACAAAATTAGTTGCTTATTTCATTTCCCCAGGCTGGTCTTTTGTCTTGTGCCCAGTTTAATGACCCCTGGTTTAGGTGAGCCTGGTAATAACCCCAATATTACCTGGCTTACCTGGCCAAATCTTAGAGAAAAGCAATGGAGAGTTACAGGTTAAACAGGCTTAAAAGTGGAGTTTTAGATAAGCTTTTCAACATTTAAAACAGAAATAGGTAAGCAAAAAGTGGTTACTGAACTAAGAATCCAGGTAAAAACAAAAGCAACAACATTAGGGACTATTTACACTTTGTGCCAAAAATTATTAACCTGTGCACCTGGAATTATTTAGAGTCTAAAAAACCCCATCTCTCAAAGATAGTCATTCAGACATTCTGTTATTCACACCACAATTGACATATGAGGATAGGATTAAGCAAAACAAGAATTTCACAGAGGTTAAAACACCCCAGAAATACCACAGTTGGTCACAACAGTTCAGGATTTGTCACTGTAAGAAAATAATCATCTGATGCAGGCTGGCAATTCACATGATATATTTGGAGATGTCTTCCAAGTAACAGTCATGTAAAATTGATGTTTCAAGTAATCTCCTGACCAGTCTCAGCCTTCCACAGTAGCTGCTCACAGGGAAACAAACTGAGACTGAAAATACTCCAAAACATCTATGAGCAGCAGGTCTGGCATGACCTCCTAAAAGGTGTGAGGAGGCAAAGAGTATTTTTGCAATAACAGGTTAAGAACCCTTTCTGAAAGTTTCTGCACAAGCACTGCTGAATTTTCTGTTCACATTAAGTTCCCAAACATGAGACACTACTTCCCAGAGTCATCTCCCAGTATGCCAAGACAGAAATAGTATTTTAACATTTTTAAATATCAAAAGCCTTAGGGTCATTCCTCCAAACATGAAAACATTGTATTGCTTTTGCAGCAATTTGATAATTTGCAAGGAAGGCAGAAATGACCCGAATAGATCTGTCACAATTTTTAAAGTAAAAAGAGACAGAAGTAGCCTCAACTTCATTAGCAATTTTTTGAATCCTTTTCTGCTGCACAGGAGATAACTTTCAAGCCAATATTATGGAAAGTCTAGAGGCAGCAGTGAATAGGAAAGTCAAGGCAATCCACATTTGTCTCCTGATTTATGGTGGGACTGGCAAGGGGAGAGGAAAAGAGATGCTGGCACAGCCTAAAGCAGGGCTGCACTGACAGGGATACAGGCAGGGTGAAACACAAAATGGAAAAGTACAATTCTGAAACAGATTGTTACATTTAACAATTCCATCTTTGTGGCTTTGTTTCTTCTTTTAATGCCAAGAAAGTTGTTACTTCATCATGGAAATTTAAATTGAGCTGTACACTGGGTTATTTATCTATCTGAAGAACATTCTGCATGCAGGCTGGTTTTCTATCACAGAACTCTTTTGTTATGAAAAAGAGCATGTTGGATGTTTTAGGAACTTAAATGTATCAGTTTGGAGATGCCAGTGGCTCCCTGTGCATTCCTGTCCACCTCAAGGATGTTTCCCATCCTGGGGAGGTTTCCAGACAAAGCTGCAGTTACTGACCCTGCCTTCTGATCTCCCACTGCCTCCCAAAACTGCTCAGGTTTTGAGGAATGTTCACAGCCCTCCCTGCTTTTTGGGAGTGCAAAAAACAACTGAAGGTGAACACACACTGCACATGCTGTAAGTTTTGTGTGAGGAGGAAATGCAGTGCAGTTTTCCAGCAGGGACAGCTGGACACCCACATTTGCCACACGAAATCCCTTGGACAGGACAGACCTTCCACATCTGAGCTCCCTCCCTGCCCCTTGGGGGCAAAAATTACATCTCAAGTTGGCTACAGCTGCCTGCTCCTACAGATCAGATACTTTCTTTTAATTCTTTGATCCCATTTTCATTGTATCTCTGTCAGAGAAAGTAGAAGTTGCTCTTCAGAAACAAAGCTGCAGAAGAGCACCACGGCAGAGAAAGCAGACAAAGAAAGAACCCAAAACTTTCATGCAAGGTTATAAAGGAAAGTGGTTTCACAGGGGTCCCAGGACAAAAGATGAGGATGTAGAACTTAGCAGAGATCCCAATTTCCTCAAACACTGAGGATGTTCAGAGTGTTGTTTTGAATGTAGTCCCTGAATAAATAAAACTCATGTATTCTGAAAGAGAACAGAGGCTACAGAATTGTATTTTGTAAAATAATATTTAAAACTTTCCCACCAAATTATTTAACTTCTGTATCCTCCTTACTGGAAAGGACTAATTGCATATCATTTCCCACTATATCCCTGAAAGTAATTACCACTCTGTACATTCCTTTCCCACTGAGTTACCAAGGTGCTCTCATAATGCACTTTAAAAGTGCAGTGTCTTGGGGGTTTTTGTTTGTTGCTCCTTCTGCTCCACAGAAATAAAATTGGCTTAAAGAAATCCTCCTGAAATCTGCAACAATGCCATCAGATGGGAACGGGCAGCTACAGCCACATTCTGAAGAATTTGTCATTTTACTTACAGGAAAAAAAGGAAGGCAGCAGGAAACAAGTTAGGTTTTGTAGTATGAACTTCAGCTTCTAGCAAACAACTGAAAATGTGGCCCTAGAATTCCATGTATTTTCTGGATTCTGTACAATTTCCTATACTCTCCATATTCTTCCATTTCTCTCCTTCCTCCTTCTTTTCCCAATAGTTTGCAAAGGGAATCAACTCACCCTCTCACAGCTCCTGAACTCACTCTTCAAATTCTTTTACTCCTTTTAAAAAGTCCTGTTCCTTCAAAGCTGCAGTCCCCAAATTCTCTTTTTTTTTTCAAAGAGAACTGATTTCTGCCCCACAAAGCCTCCTCAGGGCACCAGAAAAACAACCCTGCCTCTTCCCCACCTTGCCTTTCCCCATTCTGGGTCAGCATCCCTCCCTCTGCAGCCACAGGAAGCTGAGCAGCATCTGCTGCTGGAGAAGCAGCACTAAAGGTTAGGAGAGCTGCCTGCTGCTTCCCTCCCAGGAAGAGGCTTGGAAGGAGTTGGTGCTGGCAGATCACTTATCTGGAACTGGCTTTGAAATGCCACAACATTGCTGGATGAACAGATTGCTGGCAATCAGCAGGGAAAAAAAAATACCCAAATCCACAAAACAAACAGAGGAGGCAGCCAGCCCTGAGCACTGCTCTGCTTTCAGCAGGGAACCAAGTGAGATTATCCGTGGGTTTGAGGGAACTGCACATGAGGAGTTTAAACATTCCCAGCTTCTCACACAGAATATTCACCTTGCCCAGCTTTCCCACTGCTTTTACCCCTGCAGGTTTTACCCCACACCTGTGCTCCATGCACATCCTCCCAGGGGAGTTTGGCTCAGCCCTGACCTTGTTGTGTTTCCAGTCAAATCAACAGCGAAACTTAATTTGATTTTTGATGGAAAAATGAGCACCTTTGAAGTTATGCCCTTGATATAGATTTATTTAGGCAGTGAAATGTCACTTTCTACATCCAAGTGCTCCAAGAGTTTGGATTGGTGAAGAATTTTTTTTTTTTGCAATTCTCCAGGTTTTACATTATTATATAATTTAGAGCAAGCCTGTTTGAAGGCCAGTGTTGATGCTTCATCAATCCACATTTCAATATTTACAGAATGCAAAAGCTCCCTGATGAAGAAAACATCAGACATAAGCAGGTTTAGACAAGGACCTGGCAATACATACAAGAAAATGATAGAAATAAACCATTAAGAAGAAATCATCACTTCCACATGCCTAAGACCACCTACCACAGCAAGAGACTGGGACAGATTTTCTCTTACCTCTGGAGTGTTTTTCTTGAACTCACGACTTTGCTCAATAAGTTTTTTCCTGGACTGCTCACTTTCATCTTGCCGGTTCGCCAATATTGTTGCTGTGGTATCGAGCTCTCTCTGTTAAGAAAAAGAAAGACAAACAAAAAGAAAAAAAATAAATAAACAGTCAGAGTTCTGTCACAGAAATAAAAAAACCCCCAAACCCCCTCATACATACACATCATGTTACTGGGAATATGGAGATGGAAGTAGGGAGCAGCACAGAACAAGCACCAGGCTTCCAGAGACCTGACCTCCAGAACAACAGCAAGTGAAGCTTTACAACCCTTTGGATTCCATCTTGCAACCAAAACATCACCATTTTCCTCAAAACTATTCATGGCTCCACCCCAGCATTACACAGGACAGGAGCAATGGCACACAATACACAACAAACCTCCTAATAAATTCCCAAATCCAGTGAAGATTACAGATCTTGGACATATTCAAACCAGGTTTGTTTTCACCTGTCTGCATTTTAAAGATACTGATTTTCTCTGTTTTGAGTTATCCTATTATAAAAATGTATTAATTCAAATATTGGTTAACCTTATACTTGAATCTGGACTGGTTACATTTCAGTCACTCTTATCTCCTCTGGCATGCTGTGTATAATTCCATACTGCCACTGCAGTGCTCTTTTCCATTTAAGTCTTGCCTTATTTGAATACAAAATTATCTTTTCCTATTATTGGAATCTATTCCTCCAAGGTTATTAGCAGGTAACTCCATTTCCTCTCTAAAACATGTATTTTTTTTTTAAGCACCTGATGAATGCCAGAGTATCTTCCAACTGTTTCTACTGAGCTGAAGCACAGGTCCCATTGCTTTCCAGCGTTTTCCAAGTGTGTTATCCCCATCCCAATTCCTCCACTCAGTGCTGTGCCTCCAAATGTTACCATAATAGATTGAACGGGTCACTTATCAGTGCATAAACCAACGATACTCAATCTTCTGTGTCAGTTTGTGCCTCTGCTGCAGTATTTCCACATCATATAAAAAAATAAAGGCAAACCCCTCCATTCAGCTACAGACATCGTTCCCCAAGTCACTGGGAGAATCAAGAATTCAGAAAAGAAATTTGGCACTGTTTTATCTTTTTATTAACTCAAAAAGAGAAAAACCTGGCTATGAGAAAAGTTCATGAAAAGTGAGAACAACATGCTAGAGCAAGACTACCTTCACCTCATCCCTCTGCCAAGGTGCCTCCAACCTGCCTGCAAAACTCCCAATATTCCCCACCAGAATTTTGCAACACTTCTGGAATTTGTTCAGAACTCAACCACCTGTAAGGGACCAAAAGCACAAACCTGGGACCTCCTGTCAGGTCTAATACCAGACCCCAAATAGGTGGTCAAGTCACTGACTTGTTACTAGACACAAATACTACTGTCTAAATACTCTGAAAAAAGCCTAATTCCTAATTTTAGATACATTTTTGAATGGGTAAATCCTGGATGGATGGATGGATGGATGGATGGATGGATGGATGGATGGATGGATGGACATTTGTCTTATGTAACTCCACAGTTTGACCTCTGGATGGAAAATAAAAACCTTCTGTGTTCCCATCTCAAAAGGACCAATATTTTTTCCCCTTAAGGTTTATTGGCATAAAATTAACATTTTAAAATAAATATATAGATCATAATTATCCTAATCCTTGGAAACCAGCTCGATATGACAAATGGATTTGAAGCCAAGCAGTGTGCTAGACCAGTGACCTCAATATTGGCATTGAAATACTTAAAAATCCTTCTATATCTGACTTTGAGTAAAGAAACAGGGCAATATGTCCACCAGATCTTGGTTTGGAATTCTGTAACATATGTGAAATCTATTGCAGAAAAGTGGGAAATACTTAACAGTTGGATAAACCACATTTGAAATTCATCCCAGCTAAGTTTATGCAAGAAAAAAGAGCAACAGAAACCAATGTGGTTAAGCAGAACTATAAAGAGCAATATAACGGCTAAGCAGAAGGCTTTTAAAAAATATAAACAATCTGGTACGGCCAGAAACTTGGAAAACTATATTTAAAAAGGAAGCACACATTTAGAGCCAAGTAAAAAGAACACAAATCATGAAGAAAGAGGGAATTTCAGTGGAGCAAAGAACCCAGTGTGCTTTGGTTTCTGATATCGAGTGCTAGCAAGGAACCTGACCAATGGAAATGCAACACTTCTAAAGACCTGTGCTTCCAAGTTTAGGGACAAGAAAGAAAAAGAACTGATTAATAAATGAATTTCATATTTTGTGCTACAATGAAGAGTCAGGTAGCAAATGCCAAAGGACTTTCTCACCACCCTCAGTGCCTGGCTGACACCAGTGCCACAGTGCACTTCCACCAGGCACTTTCCCATTTCTTTCTGAATTCCTTCTGGGACAGGTCTGATAATTCCTCCCCACAAAACATTTCCTTCAGTGATATATCAGGCACAGACGTTGCCAGGGAGAAATGCCAGCACACCATTGCACTGAGCTGTCTGACTCTGGGGGCTGGAGCCCACGAGCTCCAGATCTTGCACTGATGAGCTACTGAGAGGGTAAGATGCAATTCCAGCTGAGGAACAGCAGGTCTGATACAAAATAAGGTATTAAATCTTCAAGCCATGTCATAGTTAATAAGACCCAAATCAAAACTGTTTGGAAAATCACTAATCTTTTCTTCCTTACTTGATCTGAACAGTGTACAATGCTAGTTTCATTTATTTAAACCTAATAATAGATACAGGACTACAACCCCCAAGGGCTAATGGCAGATTTTTCATACTTTTATGATTTGATCTCATGAGATAGCCCAATATTAAAAATAAAATTAATGTGGCCAATGCATTATTTCTGCAAGCAAGCTAATTTTAAGGAGCAAATAGTAGTAACTTCAATATTTCGAACCTGAGTACTGTGTAACACTCACATGTAAACACTTGCAATCACTCTCTAAGTAGATAACAAGTAAAAGGAGATGTAATTCTGCACAGAAGTGTGTTGGAGAGTCAAAAATAGGAGCCCATGCCTCAGTATCATCCTTCACACCTTTGAAATCAAAAGGGTTCCAATGAAAAGCAAACAAAACCAGGGCTCAAAGGTGTTGCAGCAGTGACCTGGCTGTGGAAAGGATTCAAAGCCTGGAAGCTTCAGTTCCACTGATTCAACACTGGCTAATGAACTTTCTGGCCCAAAATAGCCACCTGCAGAAAGGGAGTCACTGCTTGGAGCACATCTTTGAGAGAAGAAGCAAGACCATTATCCCTCCCCCTGCCCCAAAGTCCCATCGATTTAGGGCAGGCACAGTTCAGAGATAACTAAAGAACTCTCTCCAGGGTTTCTGCTTTGACCCATTTCAACAAATTTACTGGAGGTGGGAGGGAGGCAGTGGGAGGAGAGGAGACAAGAAAGTCTTATGCTCCTAAGCGTGGGAGTCATTAGAAGCAGTCCCCAGAAAACAAACATTAAAAGCTTTCTTTCAGGCAGTATAGAAATGAAAAATCTAAAACTAGGAGGGTCAGTCCACTATCCAGTGTAACAACAATCACCTTGGAGTGGATTGATGTTCTCTTAACTCAGGTATTTCCAGACTGTGTCAGACTCCCTGTCCATCCTGCCTCTGTCACCCCATGGTGACACGGCTGCAGGGGACCCACCAGAGCAGAGGGAGCCTGCTGGAAACATCCATCCCATCCTTCCCTTCCTCACTTCTGCTGCATGGAATCAGCTCCCTGCTCACGGCCACGAGGAGTTTCTGCACCATTCCAGCAGGGAGGTGGGAAAACACAGCTGGACTGAGGGGGCTGTGGAATCCCCCTGCTTGGCACAGCCTGCAATTAGATTGACCTCAAGTAATTACGAAACTGCAGGCTCACTGCAGGCGAGTTTCAAGGTTGTTTTCCTTTATGGCTGACATGTCTTTGCCTACCAGATGCATTCTTTGATAATCACCCAGCAGCAGGTCTGCACCACTGACCGGTTCAGCACAACAAGGCCTTTCCTTTCCATAATTAGAAGATTCAAGTCAGCCCTTCCATGCCTGAGACCTGGGAGCTGCTGGGTGGCTGCTCTCAAAGCTGAGTCCTAAAAATTACTCACTTAGGAAATCAAGTTTGAAAAAAAATTGAACTTTCTTGGCTATTTATGAAGTTTCTGTTCTCTCATCCACTTCTAACAGTTACTGGCCACTGCCCTGCCTTGGGCATTTCACAACCAAAGAAACCACCACACTTCAGCATTCCAATTCCCCCAAAAGCTGCTCCAACAACCATAACTAGTCCTCAGTCTCTGCTCTGAACCACTATTCCCATGGCCCACATGGAAGAAGTTACAAAAACCTGTAATATCCATCTGTAAGTACTGTGACATAACTGTATCCCAAACTTTTGTAATTCTCCCATATTTAAATGTTTAATCCTTGCTGCGTTTACCACAAAGCTCCTACAGTGGAACAAGAAACACATATCACGATTTTAAGACAAGTTGATTATTTCCTGGTAGGCTTCCAGACATGGATGCAGAGCTGAAGCTGTGCCTTTGAAAGCCTTAAGCATGGCTGCAGAGATTAACAGGACATCAGGAAGAATTTTTTCATAGAAAAGGTGGTCAAGCATTGGAATGGGCTGCTCAGGGAGGTGCAGTCCCCATCCCTGGAAAGATTCAAGGAACAGCTGGACATGGCACTCAGTGCTCTGGTTTAGTTGTCAAGGTAGAGATCAGTGACAGGCTGGATTCGATGATCTCAGAGGTCTTTTCTTAATGATTCTATGCTTCACCATAAACCTCATTTCACTTGTTACAAGGAGCGACACAAACCACAACTTAGTGTAGATTAGGAATTTTCTACCAGTAAATGTAGCATTAACCACTTCCCCCGAAATCCTGTTTCTGTGTGCTTAAGGTATTTCCCTTTATCACCAGTTCAATCAGTTCCCCAGTTTACTGATAATCTGCTACTGAAAGGAATTTTCAGAAGTTTCATTTGTGTTTTCATCCTCTCACAGGATTGCGTTTGTCAGATCTATCAAAGCTCTCAATGTAGCTTTTTGCAATTTTTAATTTCCTATTAAAGGAAAATTTCCCTGTGCCAG